TACGAGGAGCTAGTCCTGAGTCGTACAGTATGTGTGAAGAAGAATGAATGCAGTGAGACATGAGAAGTAATACTGTATGTCAGCAGGGATAGGTGTGAATTTAACTATCTGCCTGCATCAGGCTGGATCAAAAAGGAACCAGAATCACTGGCACTGCAAGTCTCACCATTCCGCATTAATTCACCTTAAAAAAAACAGAGGGAGAGTGTGACATTGTTTCCTAACTTGTTTTCCCTGATCCAGAAGATCGGTGTGAGATGGGATTAAGTTGTAATCCAATTTGGAGAGATTAAATTCTGCCGCTTTCTGCTAGGAAAGCAAATTTGAAGGGACACCCCAGAGCAGACTGGGTGATGCAGGGAAGAAAGTTTTGTTGTGAATTTAAGTCAAGTCAGTTTTATTTGTGTAGCCCAGATTCACAAATCACATTTGTCTCATTGGACTTCGCAATTTTAAATGAAGATTGAAATCTATAATATACTCCTAAAAACCCATTAAACAGTGGAGTTCTATACAGTCAATGTCTATATTAGGTTTAAATGAACAATACAGCAAGCATTATAGCAATGGTAGAGAGAAAAAGATATCTTTTTTTAAGAGGAAGAAATCTCCAGCAGATCCAGATTCAGTGTTGCTGTCGGCCTCTGCAAATGGTTTTAATGAAAACTCATCAATAATAAGTTGGTTGAAATATATAAATACAGTGGCTATAATTAATTCCGTGGAAAAAATAGCACTTATTACGGGATGATTCATTACGTTTTTGTGATTGTTTTGCTAAAATGAATGCTGTTGCTTTGATGCTATGGTTAGCTGGAATTCACTAATGTAAACTCCAAGCGAACCATACCGTCTGTGTGAGGGATCACTGGTCAACTTTTTCCAGATAGACTCAAATTCTTCATTTTATGCTTTGGTGTGAATGACAGGAAATAAAAAAAGAAAGAAAGAAAGAAAGAAACTGATGCAAAGAGAGATTGTAGAGCGAAAATTGAGCATAATACTCTTTGATAAGAAGGTTAGAGGTTTTTAGAACGAACTGTTTCCATTTATTTTGTATTCATAATGTAGTCAAATGTGCATGGCCTTTTCACTTACACTGTCTGAAGGAAACGCAGTATGTGCCTGTTAATGAGAGAAGAAGGTAAAAATGGGGAGAGAGAAAAGACAGTGGTGTAGCACCAAGGCCAAAGCCTGCTAGCCCAAACAGTATCAGAATCAGTGACTTCTTTGTCAATATATTTATCATTAATATTTATGGAAATAATAAAGAATATTTTGTGCTCATCATTTTTGTTCTCAGCTTTTCTCCTGGTTGCTCTGTTTCCAGTTTCATATACTCAATTCTTTTTAATCCAATCATATTTCAGCCTCATGTGTTTCCAGGGTGAAAGAAAACTGCCCTGAGTTCTTCAGAGTCACTAGTGCTGGCTCTGGGAGCCTGACCCTGAATGTGTTACGGCTGCGAGCCCTGCTGCACTGCAGCCCCGCTGCGTCCAACGTTTTTATCTATATTCCACTGTGCAAATTGAGTCGCTTGCACGATAACACAAGATTCCGTGATAATTCCAACAACAACCACTAGTTTACTTTGCGTCTGTGGGAGAGTACTTGTGAGTTTTCCAACTTCAAGAATGAGTCTCTCCTCGTCCATGGTGAATATCAACAATTCGACTCTGTCCGTTTGACTTCTGACCCTAGTGTCACTGGAATTGGCGTATAGTGTTGTTAGTTTTAATTTCCAGTCTAGTGCGCTCTGATTTGTTTAGACTGACAAGGCATCCATCAAAATCACACACAGACGTATTTGAGCCGCAGCAGGTGGAATACCGCTACTTTAATAAAACGGCGGCTAAGTGCAGCGGTAACTGCAGCCGTAACGAATCTAGTGGAATATGGGACTAAAAGGAATGTGGTTGTTTCTTTAACCAATTAGAGTTTGAGTTGGCTACACCGAGGCCTTCTTGCAGACCTACAGTTACGTTGGCGATTTAAGTGAGTCGATTACATGTTTAAAGAACACAAATTCTCAAATCGAGCAAAACGCATCGAGAAACTTGCACGCTGCGTCCACTGCTCCACTATTAAAATTTGTGTCATAAGTACGACAGCACAGACTGGACTTTCAGCATAAACGTGGATGGATAATCTGTACAACAGAGTAATTGACTTAAAGAGAGGAGTATGGATTTTGTGCACAAATAATCAGAAATCTTGGTGTGTAAAATGCATTTTGTATTTTAATAATATTATAATTATGGTATGTTTTTGGTTCTTTTGAATTGTGCTTCATGGGGTTGTTGCTTCAGTAATGGCGTTATTATGGTTACATGATTCATCTAGGATACAAAGACTCATATTACATTACTGTATAATATCGATGGTTTCTATAGACACGGTGACATCATTAGGATGTGGATTTGTCAGCCACTAAAGACCTAAGTGAGAATTACACAGCACATTATTGAGAAAAGGAATAACAAAGATACAACCCGAACACTCTTCAGAATGTACACAGGAGTGTGCCTAAACACGTGCAAATGCTCTGACAAGTCCATTTTGGCTTCTACTTTAACCTTGTGTCTGCAAATGGTTTTACCTAAGTCTCACTCAGACATTTGCCCTAATGGAAATGCAGTAATATGGGCTTCAGAGTAGTTTCCTCCTAACCCTAAGGCCCTCTGATCCTTTATCACCACAGACAGATGGACATAACCTGACATGCACACAAAGTACAGACACACACGCTCCAGCAAACACACACCTGCAGGTCTCGGCTTCAATAACAGATTATTAGAGTGCTTGCTAACCTTTCATATCCGTAAACACATCCACACAAACAAACAACCCCTCACCCCCCCTCTCCCCTCCCCCATTGATCTTACCCATTTCGGATCCTTCACAGACCTTCTTAAATTTGTAGCTGCCCTGAAATCATCCAATGAAATAAATCTTTTCCCCTATCTTTCTTTGTGTTCCTGTGTGTATGTGGTCAGCAAATCTCTTTTATCATTAAAGCGTTGGTCCCTTCACTGCCATTCTGTCCCACACTGCCCGAACCCACAGCAATATGGAGAAACACAGAGGAGAGGAAATGCACTAATCCTTCCAGAGCCAACGATCCATAAAGCAATATGGGAGTTTATGAGCTCTCATAGTTGTTCAATACAGGGGCAAGTTCAACTCAAACATAGTGTGTGTGTGTGTGTGTGGATGTGTGTGTGTTTCTGTCTATTGGTTTGGAACCTGTGTATGTGGGTTTGGATAAAGTGGACTCATGAAGAAGGACGGACGGATGTGTTTTTAAAGAGCCTGATAATGAGTGAAGAGCACAGAGGAGGGATCGCTTTTACTTGCAGTATTTGCTGGAATATTCACTGGTGTACATTAAGTAAAAAGGCAGCAAAGGTAAACTATGGCCCGTGGCTTTGTTGTCGGCCTGTTATTTCTACACATAGTTTGTTGTTCTGGTGAATGACGAGGCTATAAAGACAGAGAATAAAATCAGCAGGCTACGTCACTACCACTGGTGTTTGGGAATAACACATTTGTCAGCTTGTCCAATAGGAGCTCAGCGACATGGAAAAATCAGGAAATGTTTCTAAATGTTTTGGATGGGCTCCTGTTGGACAGGTTGCCTCTCAATCCTATTTCTATGGTTTGAACCAGACACACTACACTACAGTTAAAATGTGTTTTTGGCATAAAATGTAATGTTTTTTTTTTTTTTTTAACTTTGTTGTGATTTAAGGTAAAGCAGGATAAGTGGAATTAGGAGTTCCACCTTAATGACCTACATGTCATGATACATAGATCACCTGTTGTGTATTGGTGCTGATATTTGATTTGAGGTCTTAATCTTGTATGTGACACATCTATCCAAGCCACATGTAAAAGAAACTAACTGACATATTTTATTGTTGAAGAATGAATTGATCAGAAATGACAAAAAACTAAAAACCTCCCCCTGCTGACAGTCTGACGTAAAAAAAAAAAGTCTCTTTTCAGAGCTGACTCACTGACAAACTTAAACGAGAATTTTAATTTAATTGAGCCAAACTCATTTCGGTACCTGCCACACAGTCCAGCACACACACCTCCAGCGGTGCCCGTGGTCATGTGGCAGCACTGCCAGCTGAATACAGCAGATGGTTGTGGGACTCAGGCCCAGGAGGCTGACTGACTGGTGTGAATGCTGGCAAGGTGGGAAACATTGCTCGACAGCGGAGGAGCAGCCAATTACAGTATAGTATTTGCAGCTGAAGTGTACTTCCAAGGTGTACTTCCAAGACTAACAGTGCCAACAAACACACAAAAAAACCAAAGGGGTGTGTAGTAAACTATTAAAGCCGTCCATATTTATCTATTACAAAACCATTTGTTTTTTAAAATAGGCCGAATGACCTACAGGAAGTCATCATTATTTTTAACTGCTTTTCAGCAGCGGTCTTACTGCTATTATACTCAGTGACGTTGATTAATATATGACTGCCTGAGTACAATTGTAGTCAAGGTTGAAGTTTTGTTTCTCTAATTTCCTGGCCTTAGACACCTGAACCATCTCTATTGGTCGTAATATCTTCAAAGTCCTGTAATCTCGCCGGTGAAGTGAAGTCTCCCAATGAAAGCCTCTGGAAAGGTCAAATGATGCAATTTGAATATCTTTGATTAAAGAGCAAGCTGGTGCCAGACCAGGACTGTAGGTCACTGCCTCAGAGAAATGATACTCACCCTTCTCACCCCACTTATTCCTTTCCTTGAGTGTTGACTCTCTCCGTGTTGAGGGGCTGCTGCACTCTTCACCCCTACCAGTGATTAACCAAATGTCTCACCTGACACTTCCGTCCTTTTCCTTCTCTAATTCAGCGGTCTCAGTTTTATTATTTATTTTAAAACATGTGAGTAAACTGCCCTGTATGTGAGGTCAGAAAAAAATGTGCTGAGATCAAGTGAAGCACTGGGCTAAGAAAGTGTTTTTGTGTTTTTGTTTCTGCTTTCAGTTTGCCCTGGCACGGAGAACAAACTGAGCACGCTGTCTGACCTGGACCAACAGTACCGCACCCTGAAGAAGCTTTATGAGAACTGTGAAGTCGTCATGGGCAACTTAGAAATCACCAGCATCGACCGAAACCGCAACCTCTCCTTTCTCAAGGTAAAGACAAGACACAGAGTTTCACAGCTGCTTTAAAGGGTGAATGATTAAAGTGTGCGATACTTTGATTCATCACCACGTCAAGAAAAAGACACAGCAACGCTTAATGTTGTTTTAATGGAGACAAAACGATGGTGTAAAACTCCGCCTCTCTCATGGTAAGCCTCAAACTTAATATGCAGTTTTGAGCTGGCAGTAGAGATAAGCAGAAAATTCTGTTTTACTTGCTTTTTTATCAATATTGACACAATTTTATGATGAGAATTCAGGCATTATTAGATCAACAGATTGTGGCTGGCAGAAAATAGAGTTTGATTTAAAATAAATAAGGACTGGGTAAAGATGCAGCCAGTAAAAGTGTGCTGCGATAAATGCTTCAGTTCATTCAGAGTAGACCAGAGCACACTACGCTGCAGTGTGTCAGCACCATGGACAGAGGCATATGGACAGTGGCTTTTTCTGCTTTTGACTTCAGATCAATTCCCCACATTTTTTTCTATTTCATTTAACCATTCCTTCAGCTCCGCACTGGATACTTTAATAATCTTCATTAACTTTATTGATGTTATGATTAATTATCTTTTTTTTTCTCCCCCAAGTGAATGTTTTAGTGTCTAATTCAAATATCACTGGTTTACAATGTTTTTGCAGCCTGAGGCTTTGGTTTTGGAAATGAATATTGTCTGTCAAAGTTATGGTTGGATGTCTTCCTGATCCTGATCAACAACTGATGCTTACAAGTGTTCATACTGCATCATTGTCATTATTAGGTGCATACAATAATATCTAAAACACTCAGAACAAACACAAGACTTTTGAAACTACTACATTTAAAGCACAGCAGGCATGAATAACAGTTGTTGTTATGAACACAAGAACCGCATGAAACCGGGCAAAGAGCCGCATGCAGCTCCTGAGCCACGGTTTGGCCATGCCTGCCCCAATTAAAGAACAAATAACACATTTGACCTGATGTTTGAAATGGAACAAGACAAGCTGACCACGACGGTGTGATGCTGCTCCATCTAGGGTTTGTTACCTACGCACCTATTGATCATTTATTCCTAACCAGTGGCCAACTGCTTGTAACTACTTGTAAATTGTGTTCAAAAATTGACCAAATTGTATTCAGAGACTTTAAATCCAAATGCAAGATTACTGCCACCTACTGGTCCTGTTTTACATCAACAAATGACCCACCTAGAAATAGCCAAAGCATTTGACAGTATAAAGAAAATGCACACCAACTGCTGCATCCCTGCAGATGAGCGTGGCACTGATCACGTCCAGTGTCCCACTTAGAGTGTTTATGTTATTACTTTTGTATCATTCAGGGGTCAGAGGGTTTACAGCAAACTCCTGTTTAGTCTATTCTAACTAGGTGACTTTAACTACAGGCTGGGGGCAGATGAATGGGAGTTCACATGTGAGATTTTGCGTCTCCCTTTGGACAGAGTGTTTGTCTGTGTGTGTGAGTGTGTGGGTCTTTGTGTGTGTGTGTTTTCATGCCTGTGTGCACGCGTGCATTTCTGTCTCCACGCCTGTGCCTTTCCATCATTGGACTGTGTTTTAATTGCACACACATACTGAGCATGCCACCAGGCATCATCCAACCCCCCTGCTGTGTAATGAAGTGAGGTGCAGTCTAATTACTGTGCCAGTGCTATCAAATGAATGCCATAAACAGTCCCATTAGACGCAGCATCATTAGGGAAACAATTTGGCATCTGGGGAATTGTTAAGTGGCTGTGGGGAGGGGGCTGGAGTCTCTGTGGTTGCTATGGGAACTCAGTAGCTGACACCTTATTGGTAAGGATTCAACCCAATTGTGGACGTGCCACCTTAAAAAAAAAATTTTCATTAGTTTTTTTTTCTTCTTCAGATTACAATTTGCAAATATAATTACAATTATACATTGATACAAATT